ATGACCGAGCAGACGCGACTTGATATCGTCGTGCGTTATGTCGCGCTCGACGAGAGTGTTGTGGTTCAGGAAAATCATGGCTACAAGTGCTGTGAGTCGAGGACGCGATGCAAAAACCAAGTAGCTTACCTGCGGCGATGTAATCTGCGGCACGACGGAACATCTTGAGGGATTTGAACTCATCCTCGGGGAGGTAGTTCTTGGTATCCAGTTGCACACCCAGCTGCAGCACGGAGTCCGGCAACAGAGACGGGTCGGCTGGTGGATTAGCTTGTAGAAGAATCTGGGCAGGCATTTGGAAGTTGTTCTAAAGTTGAGATTGGTTGAGATGATTTTTTGCGAGTCCATTTATACATTCTCCACAGGCGTCATCGGCCAGCCTAGACGCGAACAAGACCTTGCACGGAGCTTGGGGACCTTTCAGGGGAAAACGCCGATGACCGTTGACAAGAATCATAGATATTCGCAAGAAAGATCGAGTGGAGCCTAGAAGTCCCGAATGAGGAAATTGCTGGTTGTTCCTTGTCCTGCTCGCCCTCGTTCTAGGCCTTGCTGGTTCCTCTGCTGCGCCTTTGAGCTCTCTGTTTACTTCCACCTGTGTCCGGGATAAGTGTGCTTTGCTGGGCGGTCAGCTGGATAAGAAATGGCCCAGTCTCGCTCCAATCGGGTGCGTCAGTCTAGGTCCACAACAGACGTCATTCTGCGCACTCTACGGTCCTATTAGAAGTCTCCGCTGCTATTCTCGTATCTCGTTTCGAATGCCTTCTCAAAACCTAGTGTTGTCTGTGAACGCGGGGTCCTCATCGCTCAAGATATCCTTGTACGGTATCCGGGAAGGCGGCGACGACCTCGAGCCAGTCGAGCTGATCCTCACGTCCTCCATCTCCAATATCTCTTCCCCCCCGGCCAAATTCTCGTTCAAAGTCGTCAACGGCACCAGCAAAGACGAACAACCAAAGTCCATACACGACCATGCCTCTGCGTTTGCGTACTTCGTCCAGTGTCTTGACAAGGAAGCGAAGATCGACGTTGCCCAAATCACCCGCGTCTGTCATCGGGTTGTCCACGGCGGGGACTATCACGACCCTGTGGTGATTAACGACGAGGCGTACACGCACATCGAGCGCCTCTCGGATCTCGCACCTCTGTACGCCGCCATTCTGCGCTGAGAACATTCATTTACCTGCCGCCAGTCACAACGGCGCGTCGCTAGCCGTCATCAAGACCTGCCTCTCCCAGCTCCCCAACGCCAAATCCATCGCGTTCTTCGACACGGCGTTCCACCGCTCGATTCCACCCCATATCGCCAACTACGCCATCAACCAGAAGATCGCGAAGGAGCGCGGGCTGAAAAAGTATGGCTTCCACGGACTGAGTTGTACGCGCCGTTTGTTCTTTACAGCATTACCCCACTGACCCCGCATTCGTTCTAGACGCGTTCATTTTGCGTTCAGTCGCACGCTTTCTGCAAAAGGTTGTTGCTTGCTATTAATACATACGCGTTTCATACTAATCCCACTCAGCCCCCCGCCTCCCTCAACCTGATCGTCCTGCACCTCGGCTCCGGCGCGTCCGCATGCTGCATCCAGCACGGCCAGTCCCTCGACACCTCCATGGGCCTCACCCCGCTCAACGGCCTCCCGGGCGCCACCCGCTCCGGCGCCATCGACCCCTCGCTCATCTTCCACTACACCAACAAAGCCGGCCGCATGTCGCACGACAAGTCGCAGGCGATCAACCTGCACGTCACCCAGGCCGAGCACATCCTCAACACGCAGTCAGGGTGGAAGGCGCTCACCGGCACCACGGATTTCGGCGCGATCACGCAGCGCAGGCCGGACGACGCGAGTGCGCGGCTGGCGTTTGACCTGTTTGCGGATCGGGTGATGAATTATGTGGGGTCGTATCATTTGAAGCTCGGCGGCGCGGTGGATGCGCTGGTTTTCTCTGGGGGGATTGGGGAGCATAGTAAGGAGCTGAGGGCGTTTATCGGCGAGCGCATCAAGTGCTTGGGGTACGAGATTGACCCAGAGCGGAATAATGCTGTGGATTCCGTTGAGGGCGCCGTCGTGGAGGTTGGCGTCAGCCGTGACGAAACGCCGGCGAAGCGGCTGCTTGTGTGCAGAACGGATGAGCAGGTGAGAGCGAGCCATTGCACGCCTACTTGTACTGACGATTGCACAGCTGGAAATGGCCCGGCAATGTACGTTGGGGTCAATGTAGCGTGTCATGCATGTACTTGTACGAATCAATGCCAACGGAACTTTTTAGTCTCTAAACAATAGTATTAATATCATGGAAGCTACAGTGTTTGGGTGTGGTATTATTTATCATCATTCTCCGCCTATCGCGTCTAAGTAGGCTTGATTGTCGCCTAATTCGGCCTTCAAATCGGCTAGTTCCTCCCTGCGACTTGCGACGCTTGTGTAATCACTGGGTTCAGAGAATAAGAAAAGGTCCATTTGTCCGCCTTGTGTCCGTTCGCGGCGGGTGGGGCGCCTCTTCGGGTCATTGTTGAGGTACTGACGGAGGGTACTGTGCAGCTGGTGTTCCAGATGCGCCGCCACTCGTTTCATGGCGGTATCGGTGTCTGGACGAGGGTGGTGCAAGCGATGACGCTCCTCGTCCGACTCCAGCACATCCACCAAGGCGCGACACAAGCTCTCGTTTTCCGCACCCAGAATATCTAGCGCCTTCTTGATAAGCGTTTGAATAGCCTCTGGTGTGCTCGCTGGCGGGTCCAGGAAACGATGTACTGGAGATAATGAGCGATGAAGAAGATCATAGAGACAAATCACGCACTGTATGTTATCCCCGACGACTTGAGACTGTCAGTCTCAGCGGGCGAAAGAGCTGTAAGAAGGATGTCGTTGTAGCCTAATGTCCCGCTCAGTCTAATGAAGAAGAAAAACCGAAGACCGTACCCTGTAGAGAGCGTGCGGTGGCCTCGTACAGTTCCGTAACGTCATCGAAATGGAGGTTATGCTCGGTCAGGCTCAGGAGGCGCGTTTGTAGGGAAAGGATGTGGCGCCGCATGTCCGTCGCATTCTGGCGAGCTCCGTCGTAATCGGTTTTGAGCGTATTATGTTCTGATCGCAAAATGTCGTGCTCTGTCCTTAGTTGCTGTTGATCAACGCGGAGAGATTGAAGTTCGGGGCCATAGCGGCCGACAACGGCCTCGAGATGCTCGCTGAAGATTTTCTCGGTGATGTGGCGGTGACTAGCAGCGCCATCCATATAATGGCCTCGTCTGAACACAATCAGCTGAAAGACGCAAAAAATTGGACCTGGACATACATAAGCTTGCGCGCTAGGGGTCGTTCCTCAGCCGGCGGGCGCCTGGCAACATAGGCCCCTTCAGGTGTTTGTTCTAACATTGCGACATCCCACGAGGTGTCGTGCTCGGCCGCCATGGCGAGTCGGATGTCGTTGATTGTGGGCGGGGCGGGGACCTCCACATGACGATTCGCCTTCTCTGGCGACACCAGTGTTACGGTGATTGACATTGCTGGGGCTCGGGGGGGCCGCGGGCGTTTTGAACGGGCGGGCGAGGAGGTGGGGAGGCAGCGAAGAGGCGGCGCGGCGCGGAGGCGGCGAGGAGGCTGCGCGGAGGACGGGGGCGGGCGAGGAAGCGGCGAGGACGGCGAAGAGGAGAGCGGGGGTGGCGCGAGGACGGGGACGCGGCGCGGAGGCGGCGAGGGCGAGGACGGGGGCGGGCGTCGAGGTAAGAAGGAGAGGTGGTTAGGTTCTACTTATAGGGGCATTTGAAGCTCCGGCTCGATCGACCGCCGCCGTCCAGTGAGATTCTCTGCCATCGGTGCAACAGAACGACTAGGACGACCAAGTAAGCTATGTAGCTGACGCCTGTGAGGCACGAGCGTCGGAAGGCAAGGAAGAGAGATGGCTGCTTTGCCACGCTGACTATCAGATTCTCATGAACTTTTACTCATCAACACTCCGAGTCAGCCCGAGTCCTCCTCACTGCTCTCGTCCTACTGGGACTCCAGGCATACTCACCCTTATTAATTCACCAATTAGTAGGCCGAGAATGAAGGAGAAAAGCGTGTAGAATGAGCGACTTGTTCTGCGGCAGCTACTTCGATTTCGCGGGGTCCAGTGTCTAGCGGCTCGCATTCGGCTCGCGCGCTTCCCGCGTCTGTACTATGGATCTCGATACATGCGTCTTTCGCGTCTTTCCTATTATCTGGCCTGACTGGTTTTGACGCAGTTTGCAAAGTTCTGTCTGGCCACCGCCTTCGTCTCTTTCCCCCTGCCCCCGCGTTGCCTGGCTGTCCGCGGCGCCCATCGTCTTAACCGACTGTGATTCCTATGAGGCAGTAGGAGGCAATCGCAATTTTGCAAGACCTTCGCGAATGTATCTTTCATTGTATGTAGCCACAACTGCTTCTTCTTCAATGGGGTGACCTTCCATAAGCTTAGAAAATTTCCTGAGCTTGGTTGAAGGTGCCAGTGATGTGATCGAGCTTCAAGGTATTCTGACTGTCCGACAATGTGTTCAGTTATCGTTGTAATCGCTGTATCGCTCTCCGTTTCAACTGCCTCCCAGCACTCATTCTCTCGTCGTCGTCGCTCGAGTAGTGCCTCTTGTAATGACTGTAATATCCGGTGCATCATACACTTGTGTCCAGTTGTAGTGCGGAACTGTACTGGACAAACCCCAGCCGGTACAGAAATTGCTTGCGTGAGGAATCGAACTCGAGACTTCCCGAAAAGAATGGCCAAATTAAGAACTCGTCCCAAAAAACGGTGTTTCCTGCGCAAGCCGCACCGGAAAAATGATGTTCAGCACACAATCGCACTTCAACAACTCTTGTCCCTCACACACTAGGTAAAGCTTACATAACCCCCCAAACCAACAGCCAGCTTTGAGAAAAAAAATCGCAAGTCCATTCCCCCTTTCGACTTAGTGCTTTTTTGGCCATTTTTTTTGTTGCAGGTCATCTACCAGCGCAAAAAGGGTGCAGAACGGGACAAAACAACGACCAAGGTGGGACTCGAACCCACAGTCTCTGCCTCGAAATTACGTAAGCTTTGTAAGCCCAATAATAATCGGAAAGCAACGCAGTAACCATTTTGCCACTCGGCCATGTTGAACAAGCCAAAGGGTGTGGATAGCTGGCAACAGCGGTTCTCGAGTGCCCGAGATGCCACAAGAAGCTCAACCTCTATTCCGACGTAGTCATCCCAGCAAGGCGTGGAGGAAACGAGTTGGGGAACGTGTGGAATTCGAAACTTGAAGTTCAACCGATTTTTCAACTCGAAGTCACGGTCACGGTCACGGTGACCAGAGTTGCCCACCAGCTCCCTGTTTCCCGTTCTCCTCATACAATACAGCAGAGGCTAGTACCTCTCGAATCTGCCAGGCCTCAAAATCACCCCCGGCTGAATCCCAACAACGTGAAAACTCAACATTAGCCCGCTGTTTTCCCAGCATCACAGTCTTGACTCTTCTCTCGGCGCCGACTCTGCTCCAGCGTTTAACGATGCTGCGTCCAATCTGCGAAAAGCTAGGCTGCAACAAGGGGTTAATCGCTCTCTGGCGACCTAACGGGGTGACATGGTGCAAACTGTGAGGTTAATCTGGCACTGAGATCCACCAACTGCGCGTGGCGATTGGATGAGAACCCATGAAGTCAGAGTGGTGTAACCACCTTTTTTTAGCCGTCTAAAAGAGGGCCTTGCTGCCGTCTAGATTGGCCGATGATACATAAATGGCTCCAGAGTGATCTCCTTCCCAACAATGCCTGCCCAAATTCTTCTCCAAGCCAATCCACCCGCGGACCCATCTCTGCTGCCTGATTCAGTGTTGCAGTTGGGTGTCCAGTTGGATACCAAGAACTACCTCCCCGAGGATGAGCTCAAATCCATCAAGATGTTTCGTCGCGCCGCAGATTACATTGCGGCAGGTAAGCAATCCATGTTCTTTTGCGTCGCGCCCTCGACTCACAGGATCGGTAGCCATGATATTCCTCAACCACAACGTCCTCATCGAGCGCGACATAACACACGACGATATCAAGTCGCGTCTGCTCGGTCATTGGGGAACGTGTCCCGGACTTGTGATGGTCAGTATCCGAACTGGAGCAGGCCTTACCGGCCACTAAACAAGTATTCAAGGTATACGCGCACCTAAACAGGTTGATCTGCAAGACAGATCTCGACGCGCTATACGTCGTTGGACCAGGTGGGTCTAATACGGCTCTGCAGTCCGTTCTCTAAGTTGCTGCAGGCCATGGCGCCCCTGGTATCTTGGCCAGTCTATGGCTCGAAGGCTCGATGTCTGCATTTTATCCTGAAATTACTCGTGATCGTCAGGGCCTCCACAACCTCATCGCGGGCTTCAGTGTCCCAGGCGGGTTCCCGAGGTCGGTCTCCCTGTCCTTCTGCACCCACTAGTTTTAATGTGAACACGTCTACCCCAGTCACGTCAATGCCGGGACCCCGGGCGCTATCCACGAAGGCGGGGAGCTCGGCTATGCGCTCAGCGTGTCTTTCGGGGCTGTCATGGACAACCCGGACCTCGTCGTCGCTTGTGTGGTCGGGGACGGTGAAGCCGAGACCGGGCCAACGGCGACTGCCTGGCATGCCTTCAAGTACATTGACCCAGCAGAATCCGGTGCGGTGCTGCCCATCGTGCACGTCAATGGTTTCAAAATCTCTGAACGAACCATCTACGGGACGATGGACAACAAAGAACTGATCTCCCTTTTCTCGTATGTGTGTACTATTCGGCCATTCGGTATATACTAACATTGTCCCTCGCAGCGGATATGGCTACCAACCCCGCATCGTCGAGGATGTCGACAACATCGACAACAATCTCGCAGCGTCGTTCGACTGGGCCCTCGCGGAAATCAGGAAGATCCAAAAGGCCGCGCGCTCGGGCAGTCCCATCGTCAAGCCCCGCTGGCCCGTCATCATCCTCCGCTCGTCCAAAGGCCTCGGTGGCCCCAAGACATTCAACGGCGAGCTCATCGAGGGCTCCTTTCACTCGCATCAAGTGCCCCTCCCCGGCGCCAAGACCTCCGCCGAGGAGCTCGCCGAATTGCAAGCATGGCTAAAGTCCTACCACCCTGAAGAGCTGTTCACGTCGGACGGTGTCCCCGTACCCGAGATCCTCAGTCTCGTCCCCCAAGTCGCGGAAAAGCGGCTCGGACAGAAGAAGGAGTCCTTCCGTAGCTACACGCCGCTCAACGTCCCAGAGTGGGAGGGCTTCTGCTCAAAGCAGGGCACGCAGGACAGCTGCATGAAGGCGGTCGGTCGCCTTCTCGCCGCCGTTGTGAAAGAGTGCGTCTATCCACCGCTCATTTATCGTTCACTCTTGCTGACCATTACTTCCAGAAACCCCGATAAGTTCCGGATCTTCTCGCCCGATGAACTCGTTTCCAACAAGCTGGACGCGGTCTTGGACGTGTCCGGTAGGAATTTCCAGTGGGACATTGAATCGCGCGCGCAAGGTGGTCGTATCATCGAGATGCTATCCGAGCACACATGCCAGGGAATGCTGCAGGGTTACACCCTCACCGGCCGAACCGGCCTGTTCCCCAGCTACGAAGCCTTCCTCGGCATCGTGCAAACGATGATGGTGCAGTACTCCAAGTTCACCAAGATGGTGCGTCCTTATGTTCTTCTTTTTTCGTTCTTCGACGCTAAACATCTTCTTGCAGTCCGGCGAGTTCCCGTGGCGCCAGCCTTGCGGTTCACTCAACTATCTCGAGACGTCTACATGGGCGCGTCAGGAACACAACGGCTTTTCGCATCAAAATCCGTGCGCGCTCGTCTTTCATTTACATCCATGTCACTGATCATTAATTTTTCACAGGGCTTTCATCGGCGCCGTTCTGAATCTCAAAGCGGCCATGGCCCGGGTGTACCTCCCGCCCGACGCCAACTGCTTCCTGTCCACGATGGCACACTGTCTGCGGGCGAAGGACTATGTGAACCTCATGGTCGGCAGCAAGCAGCCGACGCCGGTTTGGCTCTCGCCCGAGGATGCTGACAGGGTTCGTCAACTTCTTTCACAGCTGTTCACTGAGGCTCACCCAAAGACAGCACTGCATCGCCGGCGCCTCCGTCTGGAACTTCGCGAGCGTCGACGAGGGCGTTGACCCGGACGTGGTCCTCGTTGGCATCGGCGTGGAAGTCACCTTCGAGGTCATCGCCGCCGCGGCGCTCCTGCGCAAACACGTCCCCGCGCTGCGCGTGCGTGTGGTGAACGTCACGGACCTGATGATCCTCAGCGCCAAGGCGTCGCACCCGCACGCGCTCAGCGACGAGGCGTTCGACACGCTCTTCACGCCCGACAAGGCTATCCACTTCAACTACCACGGGTACCCCATCGAGCTCAAGGGCTTGCTCTTTGGCCGCCCGAAGCTCGACCGGGTGTCGATCGAGGGGTATCGTGAGGAGGGGACGACGACGTCGCCGTTCGATGTGAGTGCTTTTCATCCCTCACATCAATATGAAGCTAACCAGTGACATAGATGATGCTCTGCAACCACACCTCGCGGTACGACGTTGCCGTCGCCGCCATCCGCGGCGGAGCCCTTTCGAACCCAAAAGTGGCGGTGACCGCGCACGAGGACGCGTCTTATATCAAGCACCTTGCACAGAAGGAGAGGGACTACATATTGGCCAACGGAAAAGGTCCGTCTTCCTACTTCGCCGCTATCCTCCCCCTAATCGCGCGTTGTGGCAGATCACGATGATACGTTCGAAACCCCGACTTTCCAATGAAGCAAATGAACTCGGTGCTTTCTTCCAGCATTTGTATAATAAATTGTACCAAAGAATTGTAAATCTCCTCGGCCAACGGTGCCTCCACTATGCTGTTCACAAAATGCAACTCGCATCGCGTTAACGTCGTTGTTCGCGTCAAAATCCCCCATCTTCGCGATCGATACGCGCGCGCGCTGTCGGCGTGTCCTCGTAGAACGCATCCTTTTCCGCTACGTCTAACATCGGCGCGATGCGTGCTGCGAGGTCAAATTGGGTCGATGGTGGGGAAGTGCGTAACAGAGACGGAGCGGCGCGTAGCAGCGAGGAGTTCGCCAGGGCAGGGAATATGCCGGTCCAGTTTTCCTGTGGGCCGGAGCATCCCTGCGTGGTGGCACGCATCGCCTGTTTTGTTGGAATAAGTAATTTTGAACTCGAGGCGACAGTGAACCTCACCTCCGAGGAAGACGAAGCTGGTTGTCGTCACTCGGCGCGGCGACGTGATGCTGTGGTGCATAAGTTACTCTGCCGTTTCGAACTATGGGACGGTTACGCCCGATACGTCCAGGACGTACAATCTCCCATCCCCGAAGTAGTCGAACGCCTTGAACCGGCGATCTGAAGCGGCGATTCGTCAAAGTTGAGGCGTACCAGTATCCGGCCGCTGTCCACAGTCGATGAACTGTCGCGAATTCAGCGGAAATGGGGCGTACGCCAAGTCGCTCTCCAGCAATGTGTTCTTCGGGTCCTCAGCGAAAGTGGCTAGTACCGTCAACTGGCCGGATACAAGATCCGTCGAACCGGGGAACTTCGACATGTCGCCTAATTGCTTTCAGCGATTGCGGGGGCCTTTTGCGCGCGTCGACGTCGACGAGCTGCTCGACAATGTCGCGGTCGACCGGCATGCTGACGCCGGCCTCGAACGCGTGCACGACAGCCGGCGCCGCATTCTCCTTATCCTTGCGCACGCCGAGGTCGAACATGACGCGCGCGCCCGTCGCACGGTGTTCGATGAGAAACGCAAGAACAGGAAAATGGAGAGCTTCGTGGCCGGGAAGTACAAGGCTGAAAGTTGACATTACTGCCATATACGTCACGCGCCGTATTTCTTCGATTCGCCGCAAAATACAGCCCTGTCGTAGCTACATGTCTATATTTCATCTCAGTCTTCCGGTCTCATCTCGGCTCTCATTTTCGCAGCAATCCCAATGTCCTCGAGGGAAATATTCGACTGCTCACACATCGTTCTGAAGATACCGCCCTCAATCTTGAACAGCTGGGCAGGTGTGTCGAATTCCTGGACAGAACACTTTAGTAATTCACAGAACAAGAAAGCGTGTTCGACTCACAGCTATCTCACCCGCGTTCATA